ATGATTTTTGTTAATAAACTCTTTTATTTTGAACAGAAGTTGTTGTGAATTTATTCCATGTTTGTGCAGAATTAACTGTTTGACCACGATTAGAGCTCAAATCACTCTTTCATCTATTGTTCTAACACACAGTTAGTAGGACTGTGTGTCATAAACAGTATATAACAGCCAAAACAATATCTGATTAAATAAGCATCTTAAAGTATCAAATACAAATTCCCAGCTGGCTGGAAATAGAATTGAACATAAAATCACAGCAATATATAATTAGGGGGTCCCCGCTCCATCTCGCCATCAGTTTGGGGTTCCTTGGCCAGGAAAATGTTGAAGACCCCTGTCCTAGAGGGTTCTTTCCCCTTCAACCCCTGTCAGAAGGCCGCTCACACTAGAATGGAGTTGTCATTACTCTCCTACCGCCATGAATCTGGGCTTAAAATGAATTTGGAAAAAAAAAAAAAATCACGCAGTTCATAAACTAAATCTAAAAAGCTTGAAAGGAAAAAAAATCTGTAAAGGAAAAAATAAAATTATATATACGGTGTATATATATATATATATATATATATATATATATAAAAAGATCTGACAGAAAAGCAAAATGATCGTTAAAATTGTTTTTTGTTGAGAAGTTTTTCCAGGTTTCATTTGTTGATTGCATTTTTTTCCAAATTTTTATGAACACAAACTGCGGAACATGCATATCTGTGTTGCTCTGTTTCTTTGCAGTCTCTTTTCTACTAATCAACAATGAACAAATCTCTACTTTTAGTGTGCTGTTCAATAGTTTCTCCCAGTTTTTGCTCTGTTCAGGGGATTAAACCTTTTTGTTAAATATATGAATTTGGTTCTATTGTGGCCATAAGAAGTAACCATGGTTACAAAAGTCAAGTAGGTAAACAAAGAAAGCATCCCTTATCAGACCAACCCCATCAGTCTGAAACATCAAGTTTACAAGAAAACGAACCATAAAAAAAGTATTATGAAAATATAATTTATTTAAAACATAACAACAGTCTACAGAGGGTTAAAACATTTATAAATATGGATGCAGAAAAGTGGATTTCAGAGAAACACTGAGACACCCTGAGGTTAAAACTAATAGCGTGTTTCAGGATGGACAGGATGAGCTGCTACGAAGTCAGACGGTTCCTCCTTGATGCTCGGTCCAAATGTTTCAGGGGCTCAGATGATCCTGATCCCATCCAGGAGTCCGTGGCGACAGTTTCCTCTGAGCTCTCATGGGTCAGGCTGAGAGGAGACAGCCGAGGAGGCGAGGAGTCCTCGTCCGACTCATCCGGAGGTCCTGCAGACAGACAGGGAAGGCTGCGGCTTAACAGACCTACAGAAGCTAACCTTAAAGTCGTAGGTTCCAACTGTAACATTTCTGAATTCTTCTAGTGGTGCACGACTTTACACCAGTGGATAAAGTGAATGTGATTGGTCATTTATCAAGGGGGCGGAATTATTATGGTGGAAGGTTTGCAAACCAGTTTGGTTGTGGCCGGTTT